AAAAAAAAAAAAAAAAAAAAAAAAAAAAAGGAAGGTAAGTAGAATATGACCTGCTCCCCAAGAAATTCAAGGTGGAGAAAGTATACTGGAGACCTAGAAACCTCTCCAAGGCAGAGAATGGCAAAATCACCAGGATCCAAAAAGTTGAGTGGGGAGGTTCACTATTCAGAGGGCCGGACGAAGAGCAGAGGGTTAGCTTCTGTAATCCGGACTCACCACATTGATTGGGACAATAAGCTGTGTCAAAAGAGAAAAAAAGAGAGAGACAGAGAAAGAGATGCCAGAATCAGATTTCTAAATGAAAAACGATGGGAGAGGGGGTTGGGGGAAGTGCTGGGCTTTGGGCTCTTGGGTTAGAAGAGAAAAAGACTTGGGTCTGAAGGAGGAGGACTTGGAGAAGCTGAGGAACTGGGCTTGGAGAAGTAAGCGGCTGGAGACAAGGACTCTGGGATTGCGGAAAGAGGAATTGGGGACACGGGCTCCCATCTTCTCTCACCCTCTCTTTGGAATCGAGCAACAGAGGTGGCAAGGGCTTCCTTTTGCAGGTGCAACATCCAAAATAGCTCCTTCACGAAGAGATTGTCTGGGAAGACACAGCCACCCCCCATCCCACATGTGAGGTGCTGGAAGTTTGCTTCTGCCTGCAGAGCCTGGCATTCCACCTTCTGGCATTCTCAGGGAAGGGCACTAAAACTGACCGTCTAACATAATGCCAGCCACTGGGCTAAGCAATGCATATTTTGGGGGATGGCGGGCACAGGGTCTTACTCTGCCAGCCAGGCTGGAGTGCAGTGGTGTGGTCACGACTCACTGCAACTTTGACTTCCTGGGCTCAAGCAGTCTTCCTGCCTCAACACCCTAAGTAGCTGGGACTACAGGCACACACCACCGTGTCTGTGTGTGTGTGTGTGTGTGTGTGTGTGTGTGTGTGTGTATTTTTTGTAGAGACAAGGTTTCACTATGTTGGTCAGGCTGGTCTCGAACTACTGAACTCAAGCAATCTGCCTGCCTCAGCCTCCCAACCTGCCAGGATTACAGGCATGAGCCACTGTGCCTGGCCAGCAATACACATTTAAACTGAACAACTGAGGGAACATTTTAGAGCCAAGGGAGTTTCAAAGTCCTTTGCTCAAGGCCATACAGCTAGGAAGTGGCAGAGCAGGGATTTGAACCTAGGCAGTCTGGTTCCAGAGCCTAGTATCTGACCAAGAGACCAGGCATGACTAGCCCTGCCTTCCCTGAGAGATTCTGGATCCCCACTCCCTTGGTGCATTTACCTTTTACGTCACTGTCTGTGATGCGTTTCAGATCCTTCAGCAAACTCCAGGAAGCCTTTTGCAGTGTGTCCTCATCTGTCGGGGGAGATACAATCTCAGATTCCAGCCTTACTGTCTCATTGGAGCGCCCAGTCTTAGAAACTACAATACCCATGAGGCCACTGGGCAAAGATAGGCCTGGTCAAGGGACCAGCTACCCGTTGCCTTCTGGGAGTTGTAGTTTTATTACATAAAATTGCCGGCTAAAGATAGGGAATACAATATTTACTAGCCCTGGGGAACCTGAGAATCTGCATCTCGGCCTTCTCCATTCCTGAATCCCGGAGACCCTGCTGTCAGCCTCTTCCTCCCCCTGGTGTTATTCCCCTCCTTCCTAGGACCCAGGGGTCCCGGGCTCCCCCTTGTGATCACCGATGACCCCCATATAGGCATCCTCAGCAAGCGACAGATTCTGGAAATCTGCCACGGCCTTCTCTACTTTATCCATTAAGGTTTTGTGAAGGCTCGCATCCAGGTGGCCAGGCAGGTAATCCTTCTCCAAGGACTTTAGCGCCAGCACGACAGACGGGTCACAGATGACACAGCCCTCGGCAGGAAGCAAGCAACCGGCCAGCGCCGAAAACAGGAGGGTAAATTGCGGCCCCATTGCAGCCAGCGCGCAGTTCCCGGAGACCGTCAGGAAGGGTGCTCTCACCCCAAACCGAGAGCAGGAGAACGCTAAAGGGAGAGAAGCCAAAGCCCGTCTTAAGAAACCCCACTGGGCCACCCTATCCATGGGGTCCCCAAACCGCAAAACAAGGATCTTCAGGAAATCTCCAAATAAAGAGGATGTATGTCCTTCACCAAATGCCTCCAAAGCGTGAAACTGAGCCCCAATCCAGGGGACCCCAAATTTAGGGTTCTCACTGCATCCCGAGAGACCAGAAAAACTGTTAAACAGGAAGCACTTATAAGTCTCCAAACTCAGGACCTGGAATCTTCCAACCCCATGTGCCCCTTCCCAGACTCCCAAACTATGGAATTTACAAGTCCCCAGATTGATGTGATCCTGAACGCCAACCCTTAAATGCAACACCGAGGCACTCCTCTGGCAGCCCCCCAAAACCTGTTGAACCTCAAGCTGAAAATTCAATGCCCAAACCAATAAATCATCTAATACAGACCCAACCATCAAACTCCAAACTCCTCCAAAACCAAAACACATTCCAAATTCCTAAACCTCGGGACTCCACTATACACTTAAGGCTCCAAGCGATCCTCCAGACCCAAGGGGTGCTTGTTCACCCTTCCCCAAGACTAACGGACTCCCAATTTGCAGCTCGCACCTTTCTGCTTAGAAAAAGACGCCCCAGCCAGGCGCAGTGGCTCATGCCTGTAATCCCAGCACTTTGGGAGGCCGAGGCGGGAGGATCACAAGGTCAGGAGTTCAAGACCAGCCTGGCCAAGATGGTGAAACCCTGTCTCTACTAAAAATACCAAAAACTAGCCGGCCGTGGTGGCGCGCGCCTGTAATCCCAGCTACTCCTCGGGAGGCTGAGGCAGAGAATTGCTTGAGCCCGGGAGGTGGAGGTTGCAGGGAGCCGAGATCGCGCTACTGCTCTCCAGCCTGGGCGACATAGACTCCGTCTCCCGAAACAGGGCGGTTCCTGACTTGTGTCCTCGAACACTAGCGGGCTTTTAAAGAGGAACCGGGGGTCAGGACCACCTACGCTAAATTTCCAAGGGCTAAAATCAAGGATTTTGTTGGGGACGCGGGTAAGGTTCGTTGCGTGAAATCGAGAGCTTTTCTGAGTCACGGACGCTCCCTTCTCTATAAGGAACTCCTGCAGTCTCCTCCCAGCTTCTCAGCCCGAATTCCCTCAGAGATATTCCGTGGGATTTTCCTCGGCCCCGCCCAGAAACCCAGCTCTGTCTGATTGGACTGCAACAAAGGGCTGCCCCGCCTCTCGCTCCATGACGTCACAGAGGCTGCAGCCTTTTCAGACTAGAACTTTCCTGGCATCTGCGGAAGAGGAGGCCTCCTGACTGCTCTGGCCTTCAGCTTCCTCTCCTCCCACTGCCCCAGGACCCAGGCTTTGGGCTAGATCCGGCGCCCTAGGCTGCTGCCGACCCCATCACGGCCCTTAGAAACGGCTGTCAAGCCACGAATTGAACGGTTTAGCCCTAGGACTACGACTCCCAGAATGCCCTGGGGCCTCTTTGTCCGTAGCTGATTAGCGCTGCCCAACCCCATAGCTTTCCGGGAAATGTAGTTCAATGATTATCTGCTCGCTCCCGCCTCCTACTCTTCTCCCCACGCGGAGGTCCCAGTGGGAGGAGAGGGCTGGGGGCCAATACTGAGGGTCCAGGAGAGAGCAACTGGGGGCTCAGACCTTTGGGTCCTGGAAGGTCTCTCCTGTGTGATCGAAACAGGGAACCAGAAAAACCGAGGCCACGAGTCACACAAGTCCAGCAACAAGAGGCTGTCAGATCTAAGTAGGGACAGTACTCTCAGTCTCGAGTAATAAAAGTCAAGGCCGGGCGCGGTGGCTCAAGCCTGTGATCCTAGCACTTTGGGAGGCCGAATCGGGCGGATCACGAGGTCAGGAGATCGAGACCATCCTGGCCAACATGTGAAACCTCATCTCTACCAGAAAACAAAACAAAGCAAAACAAAAAATGCTGGGCGTGATGGCGTGCGCCTGTAGTCTCAGCTACTGAAGCAGGAGAATCGCTTGAACCGGGGAGGTGGAGGTTGCAGTGAACCCAGATCATGCCACTGCACTCCAGCCTGGCCACAGAGCGAGACTCCGTCTCCAAA